ATGAAGGAATTTTTAGCTTTTTTCCCCCATAGGCAACCTGATACTCATGTCTTTGCAAGTTCAAAGTCCAACCTCTGGATAAAAGTCCCTCCCTATGAAAGTCACTCAGTGAAGTTAGGAAGAGGTGATTGTTCCATCAGATGCACAGAAAATCAACACAGGGACACAAGAAACATGAAAAAGCAGGAAATATGATACCACCAAAAGAGCACAATAACTCTTCAGCTACTTACCCCAAATAAATAAAAATTTATGGGTTTTAAAATTTATTTTCATCAAAATAATGATCTTAAAGAAATTCAGTGACATAGGAACCAGCAGTTAGCGTAATGGCTATGTCGCTGGACTCCCAGGTAGTCGACCGCAGTTTGCGTCCCGGACCCGGTGGCTTAAAACTCACGCCGGGCACGTGTGCGTGCGTGTCCAAGATCCCGAGAGGAGAATGGAGGAGAAGGGATTGTGGCGTGACCATCTCCCCTGGGGGGTGATTTCTCGCTTTCTGTCTCTCTGTCTCTCTCTGTCTGTCTGGCGAGCGCACGCGCCCTATAGTGAAAATCTCTCCAAAAAAAAAAAGAAATTCAGTGACATACAAGAGAATGCAGAAATACAAATAGACACTACAATGAAATAAGGAAAACAGTTTATGATCTGAATGAAAATTTTAATAGGGAATAGATATCATAAAGAAGAACCAAACAGAAAACTGGGAGCTGGATAATTTAATGAATTAAATTTTTAAAATACAATTAAGAGTTTCCATAGCAAACTCAATAAAACAAAAGAAAACATTTCTGGACTTGACAATAGGTCTTTTGAAATCACCCTGTCAGATGGAAAAAAGAAAAAAGAATAAAGACAGCCTACAGGACTTACAGAATACTATTAAGCCAATTAACCTTCCCATTATGGGAGTTCAAGAAAGAGACAAAGATAGAGATAGAAAACTTATTTAATGACATACTCGTTGAACACTTAAAGGTACCCAAACAGATTCAATCCAAAGAGGTACTTATTGAGCACACATTATAATTAACTGTCAAAAGTCAAAGGTAAAGAGAGTTTTAAAAACAGCAAAGAAAATCATTAAGGCACATGTAAGGAAATTTCCATTATACTATCAGCAGATTTCTCAGTAGAAACCCTACAGGCCAGGACAAAGTAGGATGATATATCCAAAGTGTTGAAAACAAAACAAAAACTTCTGACCAAGAATACTGTAAAGCTATCCTTCAGGATTGAAGGAGAAATAACGTTTTTTCCTAGACAAGGAAAAAGGAAGGGAATTCATCATCATCTTTATAAGAAATTCTTAAGGGAGTCCTCTACCTGGAAGAGAAAGGATCATAATGACCAACCAGGAAAATGCACAAAATTCACAAAAGCATAAATTCACTGGTAAAGCACTCAACTTAGTAGCACAAAAGCAAATACTAAAATAAAAGCAATTTTAAAATAGGCAAATAAGGGTGCCAGTAAGTGGTATGATGGTTAAGGTGACTGGATCCCACATGGTCAAGTGTGCAGTTTGAATCCTGGACCCGATGGCTTGAAAAACACACTGGATGTATATAAGTGTGTGCCTAAAATCCCAAAAGGAGAGATGGAGGAGAAGGGATTCATGGAACAGAAGATATGTGGCATGATCATCCCCCATGATAGGGCCACTTTCTCACCTTCAATCTCTGTCTTTGTCTCTCTTCAGAGAATGCACATACCCTCTAAAAATTTTTTTCATGGCCAAATGACTGGAATAGACATTTCTCAATTGCAAAAGAGCAACCACACCAGAGGATTATCTTGAGAAAGACTTTTTTTTTTTTGAGAGGTTTTTGCTATAGGGTGCATGCGCTCGCCAGAAAGACAGATAGAGAGACAGAAAGTGAGAAATCACCCCCGGGGGGATGGCCACACTGCAATCCCTTCTCCTCCATTCTCCTCTTGGGATCTTGGGCACGAATGCACACGCGCCTGGCGTGAGTTTAAGCCACCAGGTCCGAGACTCGAACCGCAGCCGACTACATGGGAGTTCAGCGACATAGCCATTACGCTAACTGCTGGTCCCATTGAGAAAGACTTTGAAGGAAGAAAAAGAGACTGATTTTTGCCAGTAGATGGTATATCAGAATACGTGGTAGTCCACGCTGAATTGAGAAGGTTTATGTGTGACTAGTGTGCTGGGCATTTGCTTTTCAACAATTTGAGTAGTTGACATGTAAATACTTTCTCAAAAATATTTAAAACCATACTGTCTCTGTTGTTATAGAGTCACAAACAAAATTATACAAAATTATAAGAAATATTTTAGGGACCAGCAGTTAGCGTAATGGCTATGTTGCTGAACTCCCACGTAGCCAACAGGGGTTTGAATCCCGGATCGGTGGCTTAAACTCACGCTAGGCACGTGTGCGTGCATGCCCAAGATCCCGAGAGGAGAATGGAGAAGGGATTGCGGCATGGCCATCCTCCCTGAGGGGTGATTTCTCGCTTTCTATCTCTCTGCCTCCCTCTATCTTTCTGGTGAGCACACGTGCACATGCAAAAAAAAAAAAAAAAAGAAATATTTTTGAACATTATTTGAACATTATCTTTAAAATTCAGTATTTGGAAGTTTTGAAAGTTGCTTATTAACTGTCAAGAACTATGGAGTATGAGCTAAAATTTTTGATATGTAAAGTAAGTGTTTGTGGAAAAATGTAAAAATAAATTAATGAAAAAAAAGACATACAAATGGCCAACAAGTGTGTGAAAAAAAGCTAAACATCATTAATCATCAGGGAAAGGCAAATCAAAACCACAAAGAGGTATTGTCTCATTCTGATTAGAATGGTTATTATCTAAAAGACAAAAGATAAATGCCATCAAGGATTTAGAGAAAGGGGAGCTCTTAGACATTGCTGGTGGGAAAGTAAACCGGTAATAGCCACTATGCAAAAAAAAAAAAAAAAAAAAAGGACTAAACTAAAAATAGATTTACTCTATGAGCCAGTAATCCTACTAAGAAAGTAAACCAGTATATCAAGGAGCTATCTGCACTCCCATGTTTATTGCAGCCTATTCATAATAGCCAAGCTATAGAATCAAACTAATGTCCATCAACAAGTGTATAGATAAAGAAAATGCCATGTGAACAATGTATACATAATGGAATACTATTTAGCCTTACAAAGAATAAGGTTCTGTCATTCAAAACAAAAGTTATGAGCCTGGAGGACATCCTATTAAGAGACAGACTAAGCATAGAAAGAGAAAAACATGCATGTTCTTATTCATATGTGAAAGCTAAAACAGTTGATTCCATAGAAGAAGAAAGTATAGTAGTGGTTTATTTAGAGGCTGGGAAAAGTATGAGGAAGAGAAGAATAGGGATATATTGGTTGATAGAAACAAAATTACAATTAGATAGTAGAATTAAGTTCTAGTGTTTTATAGCACAGTAGAGTGACCACAGTTAACAATAATTTATTGTATGTTTAAAAATAGCTAAAAGATTTTGAATGTTATTAACACAAAATAATGCTAAATGTTTGAGGCCATAAATATGGTAATTACTTGATTAGATCATTACACATTATATTCGTGTGTTGAAAAACCACTCTATGCCCCATATAGAAGTGTACTTATGGGTCAATTATTTATAATTATAAATATATTGATAAGGAAATTAAAAGGAATGATATGAAGTATCACTTCTTCATAGTGATATTGTAGGGTTAGGTGAGTTAGCTGTATTTATATGTACCAGACAGTATTCTTTATTTTTACATTTTGCTAGAGGGGCTGTGCAATTGCTGGAAAGAGACAGAGAGAGAGGGAAAGTGAGAAAGCACCCCCATGAGCCATGGGAAATGGTTGTGTCACAATCCCTTCTTCATTTCTCCTTTTGGAATTTTGGGCACACATGAACATATGCCTATATGTTTTTCAAGATGCCAAGTTCGGGACTCAAACCATATTGTTGGCCATGTGGGATCTAGGTGTCTTAACCTTCATGCCACCAGCTGACCCAGTATTCTGACTTTCATTGAGAGCTACAATGTCTAAATCTACTCAGTATCCTCTAAGAAGGACCTTGCTTCTCAAAGTATGCCACATGGACCAGTATCATGTGCACCTTACGGGACCTTGTTAGAA